CCATAGAGCCTTAAGCTTGGCAGTTCTTTGTTTTGGAGATAAAAGTTCCCCAAACCTGTTAGTAGAAGCATGAAGCCAAAAGTCCACACTTATTGACTGAATTTAGGAGAAGGCTTAGATTTTTTTTTTTTTTAAACTTTACTGTTTGGACTCCGTTGAGACTGACTTTCTAGTTTTGCTTATTTTCAGGATGTGGACAGAGCTTCACAATGTGCTGTTAAGGGGTTTGTGGTTTTGCTGTGTTAGTAAGAACACTTGGTCTCAGAGAGGGAAGACTCACAAAAGCCATATACACAGCCTGTCTCATCAGACGCCAGACTCCACCAAACTCCGTGCGCACCTAGGCATCTGTCATGTCCCCACCTCCTTCCCCAAACCTCCCTCTCCACCCAGATTCCTTCCTAGGGAGAAAAAAAAAAAGGATGTAGGCGGAGTTGGTTTTCAGGTTTTTATTGTGGGTGTATTTTTGGCGGTGAGACGGACGGCGGGGCAAGCTCTCCCGGGAAGGATCGGAGGCGTGAGTGGTGGACTAGGAGGAGGAAGAAGGGGGACGTCTTTACTCTCGAATCTTCAGTTCCCGCGCCATCTGGCAGAGGGCGCAGGGCAGACAGAAAGTGAGGGCCGCCCAATCGTGCCCGACGGAACCCTGGGGGGTGAAAGAGAGAGGTCAGAGCGCTGCCTGGGGTCCCACGGTGCCAGTCCCCAGCCCCCGGCTCCCGCGGGGCTCCGCCCGGCGCGCACCTGGATGCGGTAGCGCTCGCGCATGCCTGTGCGGAGGGAGTGCAGGCCGCCGGGCAGGTACGGAGCGCAGCAGCACTCGCCGAAGTCGTCGGAGATGCGGCAGGCGAGGCACAGCGGGGCGAAAGTGCCACACAAACCTGGGCGGGGCGAGGGCCGTCAGGGGCGGAGCCGACGGGCGCCTCCGGCCCGCTGCGCTCCCAGTGAGGGTCCCGGAGGGAATGGGGAAAACAGGTCCCAGGGGGAATTAGGGTCGAAGGAGGTGGTTTAGTGACAGAGAGCGTTTGAAGAGGGAGCAGGGTCACAACTGGGAAAGTTGAGGATCCAGGGTGGTGGCTGAGGGGAGGTTGAGGGTTGTTAGATTGTGAGGTTGGGGGTCCCAAGAGGGGGCAAGGGTTAGAGTGGAACTAAAGAAGGGAGGTGGGAGTGGACTTAGAAAGGTGGACGTCGGAGTGGCAGAGTGGCGTACAGGTGAGCTTCCCTCCCCTCCCTCCTTCCCAGGACACTTACAGACGGGCATGTCATTGCAACAGTCCGTGAGACCCGTGTGCCAGTCACTGAGCTGGGTCTGATAGCAGCTGCTGGCGCACTGGGGCTGACTGGTCACCGGGTAGGACATGGCTGCAGAGGTGGGAGAAGAGGATCAGCAGGCAGCCTTAGTGCCTCCTGAGACCAGCGCCCCTGCCACCCTTCCCTCTGCCGGGCAGTCTGGGCAGGGCCACCAGGCCGCCCACTGAAGGGACACCATTGCTCCTCCCAGTTCTTTTCTGCCACATCTATGCGTCAACAGCCCAGTCTGTCCCTGTTGCCGCTTCCTCCTGCACATCTGGTTGAGCTGAGGGTAGGGGGTTCCTGCTGGTCTGAGGAAAGATGGGCACCACATCTGGGCAGGGCCTGAACATGTAGCCTCCTCCTCCACGTCTGGGCCAGGGGTGCTAGGTTCCAGCATTTCAGGGACCTCTGGGATGGAATCAGGTGCCATTTGTCTTCAAAGCCAGGGTGCCCAGGGGAGGGAGACGGCCAGGTTCCAGGTACTGGGAGGGTTGCTGGTCCATCTAGCGATCCCACCTTTGCCTTTCACGTTGTCGTGCATCTCGAACTGCATTTTGCTGGCCCTGAGGATGTGGAGCTGTGGACGTCGGAGATGGCTGCGGCAACAGCTGCGGAGTCTGTCCAAGGGTTGCGGGATACTGGGGAGGGGAGGGCAAGGGACTGGGGCACTGGGGGCAGGGCTTTCAGGGGAAGGGGAACTGAGGAGAAAGAGGCCAAGTCAGCCTCCCAGTTGGGAGAGACATGGAATCCGGGATGGATAGGGTGAGGGCGAGAGACTCGCCCATCTCTTTACAGCTGCCCGACAGACCCCAGAGGACCCTCCTCATAGTAGAGGCAGAGATGAAGAGAGAGACCAAGAGAGACACAGGTAGAGGCAGAGACAAGATGAGAAGGAGATCACAGCCAGGTGCCCACAGAGGTCCAGCACCTCGATTCCTCTGCAAGCCCATTTCACAGAGGGAACACGGAGGCTCAGAGAGGTGAAGAGAAATGCCCCACTCTGATGGCCCAGGCCAAGTGGATTAAAATAATACTGGGCCCTTGGATTATCAAACTCAGACCAGCCCTGCTCAGACTGAGAAGGCTGACTCAGGGAGCATTGAGAAGGACAGAGGTGCCAGCCTCAGAGCCAAGGGCCTTGGGAAGGGAAGGGTGCTCCTACCTGCAGGCAATGATGGAGTGGAGATGGAGACAGGTGAGGGTGACACAGGCACTGAATTCTCTGTCTAAGGCCAAGAGCTGCTTATATGGGCCCGGCCACGCAGCCCTGGGCGGGGCTCTGACAGAGGTGCCCAGGGAGCCAAGCCGGTCTGGCTGACCCTCTTCCCCTCACAGGGATTTCCCGCCTTCCCTCTGCATTCCCCACCCCCCACTTCTCTTCCACCTCACCTCTGCAAGTGTGTGTGTGCGGAGGGGGTGTCACGGATGGAGATGGAAACAGGAGTGGTAAGAGATAGAGCTGGAGAGACAGGGAGGGACCAGGGGCACAGCTGGGACAGCTCAGAGGCCAAAAGAGCAGGGAGACAGGGACAGGCAGGAGAGTGGCAAGATGGGAGGGAAGGAGAGAGACAGGAGGACACAGAAAGACGGTGAAAGACAAAGAGGCCCACAGATCTGGAGAAAAATGACAAAAAAGGAAGTTAGGATTTGGAGAAGAGAGGTGCAGAAGTGGAGGGCTACAGGGAGGGGCAGGTGAAGGGGAGCCCGGCAAGGGGCAGGGGAATGGCGGTGGGAAAGGTGGGGTGATGCAGGAGAGAGTCTGGAGTGGGGTTCTCCTTTAAGGCTCTCATCATGCTTAGTGACTTCACTCTGCCATCTTCCTGGGAGACATGGTTCTCTCATTCAAGGCCAGGAGACAGGGCAGGGGCAGGTGGGTGAGTGTATTTTGAGGAATGATTCATGTAGGGACCAAGGTCAGGGGTCCACTCACCTCTACTCCGAACTGAGAGGAGGTTGCAAACTGTAAAAGGAACTGAAGGATGTCCATGTGACCCCTGGACTCATCGGGGTCTTCATAGAGCAGAAGATGGGACTGAGGAGAGCCTGGAACCCTGAGTCTAAGGGAAGAGGGCTGGGGCCTGGACCCCTGGGTCTGAGGGAGGGGGCTGGAGTCTTGTTAAGCTAGGTTGCACATTCCTGAGTAGGTAGGGTCCTGGGGTTTCAAACTGCGGGGCTCCAGGGGTGAAGCTGGGGGATAGATGCTCACGTTGCCAAAGTCTCCCCTCAACAGGACTGTCGGGGTTGACATGACTCAGTGAGGGAAGCGGTGTTAGAGCTGGGTGGGGTTCCTAACATGGGTGTCACCCCCAAAAAATGTAGGAGGCACCAGAAAATTGGGGTGTCACCTATAGAGAAGGTAGTATCGTCACTCCACAAGGTATGGACATGGGGTGATGGCAGATGGATAACCTGCTGGTCTGGGATCACAGCTTTCCCCCACGCCCAATACACCAGGGCCCAAGCCTCTCAGCACCTCCCAGATGGCTGGTTCTCTCTGTCTCCATCTGGGCAGTAATCCCTTGCCCGTGCACATCAGCCATAGGTCCAGGAGCCTGCATGCATGGGGGACATCTCCCTACTTGCTTCCTGCATCCCTGTATCCCCATCTCTGCGTCTCCATGTGTCCAGTTCCTCATCTCTTTCTCCATCTCTGAAAATCTGTTTCTGAATCTCTGGGTCTGTCTCCCCATCTCCCAGTCTCTCTCCTCCCAGGCTTTGTGCCTCTGTGTCCATATCCTGGGGTTTCTTTCTCCTATTTCAGGGTCTCTCCTCACCTCTCCCCATCTCTCCCCTTCGCAAGCCTACTCCTTGGGGGCAGCCATAGGGCCCGTCTCCCTAGCTGTCCAGACTATGGGTTCAAGTGACTCCATCATCTCTGAGGACCCTCAGGCTCCTAAGATGACAATCTGAGTTGTTCTCAAGTTTCCTCTTCTGATACAGCCTGGGGGCCCCAATTAGATATAGCGAGTCACATAGATGAGGAAATCGGGACTGGGGAAGCTGTGAGGTGGCCTGTTTGGGGGTGAGGAGAGCAGGGAGCAGGAAGAGGTGAGGTCTGGGGAGTTGAGGAGTGCTATGGCCCAGCCACTAGGCATCTGGCCTCTGTCCCCCTCAATGGGGTTGTCAGATACAGGGTGTCTATTTAATTGAAATTTCAGATAAACAATGAATATATTTTATTTTAGTGTTAGTAAGTTCCATGAACTATTTGGGACATACGTATACTAAAAATTTATTTCATTGCTTTTTTGTTGGTTTTGTGGTACTACAGATTGAACCCAGGGGTGCTTTACCATTGAACTGTATCCCCAGTACTTTTTTTTTCTAAAAAACGAAACACACACACACACACACACGTGTGTGTGTATATGTGTGTGTATATATATGATGTAGATGGACACAACACCTTTATTTTTATTTCATTTATTTATTTTTATGTGGTGTTGAGGATCCAACCCAATGCCTCACACATGCTAGGCAAGCGCTCTACCACTAAGCCACAACCCCAGCCCCTCAGTCCTTTTTTATGTTTTATTTTGAGACAGAGTCTTGCTAAATTGCTGAGGTTGGCCTTGAACTTGCAATCCTCCTGCCTCAGACTGCCAAGTCGTTGGGATTACAGACTTGCACCCCAGTACCTGGCTTGTGTCTCACTGTGTTACCCAGATTGCTCAAGTACTCCAGGGCTCAAGTGTTCCTTCTGCCTCAGCTTTGCCTAGCTGGTGCTATAGATGTACACCACCATGCTGTGCAGTTTCTTGTATTTTTACTTGCCAAATCTGGAATCCTACCTTCAAAGAGAGGAATCTAGGACTAAGGCCCCCTGTTTCCCAGAACCCAGATGTCCAGGCCCCAGCTCGCCTTTCTCTGGACCTGAGAGTCTATGTCCTAGTCCCCCTCATCCCCTCCCTGAGAATGAGTGGGGTGCCCAGCCCCCTACTCTCTCAGCACATAGAAGTCCAGGCTTCTAATCCCTCTGCCTTCAGAATCCAGGCATCCGGGTCTGAACCCGGTTGCCCAACATGGGTTTCACAAGGCAGATTGTGCCATCCATGGCTCTGGTGGAACCGGTCTAGCTGAGCAGACAAGAAGGGGACCCTCCTTCCCATCCTAAACCTGCTGTTTCCTTGAGGGACTGCCCAGCGGGACAGGAGGGACTCAGGGAGTTGTGGGTGTGTCACTGGGTCTGGTTTGGGTGAGTTGTGTGTCTCAGTGTGTGGTTATGTGACTGTGTGGGGATTGTCTCTTTGCATTGCTTCTGTGCTCTCTGGTGTGACATGTGAAGGGTCCCTTTTATATCTGTGTTGTATTACACACCTGTGATTCTATACACTGTGCATTGGGTTGGGAAATGTCCTCAGTTATTGTAGTCCTACAATTCCTACTGGATTAAGGCGACAAATATTTATTGAGGGGTAGCCTTATGTGATGGAATCTGGAGCCAGAAGACCTGGGTTCACATCCCACCTGCCTCTTACTGGCTGTGAAACCTAGGGCAAGTCATTGAACTTCACTTCTCTTCATTTTCCCCATATGTAAAATGGCTTGTTGCAAATAGAGTTGTTGAGAAGATTAAAAGAATTAATTCATGTGAAAGGCTTATGATTATGTCAGATACATAGGAAACATTTTGGAGTTGTGATGAGGATGATGGTGATGATTATGTTCTGTTCATCCCTGGAGATCTAATAGTGGACAAAATCCAGTCTTTGCTCATGTTCTTTCTAGCAGGGACTGGATCCATGGCTTATCAGGAGCTGGGCATATAATTGCAGAGCCGGGTCTGTTTGCACGTGGAATACGGTATTTCTGTAAGTGCGGGTGATTCTGTGATGTGTGCTTTTTGGTGCTTGTAGGTGATTTTATGTGGCATGTGTGCCTCTCTGATTATGTGGGTGCAAATGCAAGATCACACCTCACGAGGGAACGTGTTTGCTGTGAAACTTGTGTTTCCAGCTCCAAGGTTCTGGGAGTGTGTCTGGAGCCTTAAGAACCCCTTTCTTAGCCCCCATGCCACTCCCCTGTACATCCCACAGGTGACCCTGAGAGGCTGACTTCTTCCAAAATGAGCTTCAATTTCTGTCCAGTGAGGTTAGTGGGCCCAGTGGCTTTGGGAGAAATGCAAGGGTGAAAGGGAAGGTGGGGAGGAGACTGTGAGGCCAGGGAGAGGCTGAGGAACATGACAGTGACACAAAGGGAGATGGTGGGGTAGGGACAGAGGAAGAGCTGCAGAGACAGGTATTTGTCCCCGTGTCTCTGTGCAGACATGTTTATCCACGATTATGTTCTGAGTCTCTGCAATGTGTCAAGACTTCTAGGGGACATCTGTAGAGCTATCCAGATAGATGAAGACCCACCAGGAAGCTGTTACTCGCCTAGGGTGACCCGCCTGTCACTTTGATGGGCTACAGTGACAGTTCTGAGTGAAGGAGATATGAAGATGGTGAGGGAGAGAAGGGCACTGCCCATTTCCAGTCCTCCCTGAGGCTTGATCTGTTCAGATCAAAGTACTGGAGCCGTGAAGGAAAGGACCCTCCCAGGCCAGGGGCCCCCCATGAATCACTTTCTTATCATCTCTTAATGGGATAATGACATACCTGCTTTGTCCTAATCACCATTTTCTACCCCAACTAGGCCCAACACCCATAGCAAGAAGGGTTAAAAAGCCTGGTGTCATGGAGACAAGGAAGGAAATACCTGGAGTCCCTATCCTTGCCACCCCCAATGACCCTGAAGTCTCAGCTTTCAGACCCTCTCCTTTGGTTCACTGTCTGCCATTTATTCTCTCTTTGGGCCTTAATTTTTTTTTTTTTTTTGTGTGTGTGTGTGTGTTTTTCCTGTCTCTTTACATCTGTATCTAATTTTTTTTTTTTTAAATCTGTATCTTGATTCTCCTGCACTGGACCTCAATTTTCTCACTTGTAAAATGGGGATAATAATAATAATGATAATAATCTGATCTCTTAGAAGTGTGAGGAGGAAGACATGAAATAATTACGTGAAATGCTTAGCACAGAACCCAGGTCACAGTAAATTCAGTACAAGAGAACTCTATTATTATTATTGTTTTATTATTTTTATCTCTCCATTGGTATCTGTGTTTTTCTCTTTGTCTCCAAGTGCATCTCAAGTCTCCTCCCTCCCTGGTATCCTTTTGTAGACAGCGCCCTGCCCCTGGCTTCTCTGGTAGGGACGGACGTGGAAAGGGCATATCCAGGCCAGAGCGTCTGTTCC